TTCGCTGAACCGCTGCTGGATCAGGCGTAGGTAGTGCTCCGGCCCAGCTTGGGACCGTGCGCGCGTTGGTGTACCTGGCGCTGCGTTGCGCGTCAGGGCGTTGCGATGAGTGCGTCTTGGCGGCTGGTGAATGCGCCCGTGGGTGCGCCTGCGTGGCGGCTGATGCGTGTGCCCGTGGGGCGGCTTGTCTTTGTGCTCGTGGAGCGGCCTGGGTATGCGCCTGGGTTGTGGCGGCTGGTGGGTGCGCCTGTGTGGCGGCTTGTGTTTGCGCCTGGGTGGCGGCTTCGGTGTGCGCCCGTGTGGCGGCTTTTTTTTTTTTTTTTTTTTCACATAGACGTTGGCGTACCGCAGTACACTCAAGTGGCCCTTGTGAAACCAGGACTGTTCCTGTTTAGTTGCGCGTCTCACTGCCCCCCCGGAACCACCGTTTGGTATTACCTCGGGGGGGAGTATAGCCCTAGTGGCTCCTTCCTAAGACTTGCTCCTCGCGTCTCAGTTCCTTCATTACGCTGTATGCCATTTTTTGCAGCTGCATCCCAGTTTGCGACGCTTGCCAGCATGTTACTGACCAGGTTCTCTGATGTCAGCGGCTCGCCGCACTGTCTTTCCAGATCGTCCCTCTGCCCGGAAAACCTTGGGCAGGTGAAGATGACGTGCTCGGCATCTTCTGGGCAACTAGTGCCACATCTTGGGCAGGACGGGTCTTCCGCGTGCCCGAAGCGGTGGAGGTACGCTCTAAAGCAGCCGTGGCCGCTTAGGAATTGGGTCAGGTAGTAATTCACCTGCCCGTGCGCCCTGTCTACCCACGCCTCAACCCGTGGGATGAGTTTGTGCGTCCATCTGCCCCTAACGGAGCATTGCCATCTTCGCTGCCACTCGGCAAGGGATCTCTTCCTGTTTTCCTCTGGGGAAAGCTCGTGTGCACGTGCGAGCTCGCGTATGCCTACATCAAATGGCATCATACCGGCCAGAACTTCGGCTGCATCTCCTGAGACCGTACGAAACGCGCTGACGATTCTCAGGGCACAGGTTCTGTAGACCGCTCTAACCTCTTTTGTGTAGGTCTTATTCGCTGTGGCGTCTGCCCAAATTGGTGCCGCATAGGTCGTTATCGACCTTACCACGCTGCTCAGTAGCCGTCTACGCAGCTCTTTGGGCCCTCTCGTATTTGGCATGATACGGGCCAATGCTGAACAGGCTATCGAGGCCTTCTGGGCTGTGTACTTCAGGTGTTCCTTGAAGGAGAGCCTATGATCCAGGATTATTCCTAGATATCGGAGGTGAGGCCGAGATCTGATGGCTGTGCCACCCACTGTGAGAGTTACGCTCTCCACGACCTTTCTGGAGCTTATGAGCACCGCCTCCGTCTTGTGCTCTGCGAGGCTAAGACCGGCATTTGCCAGCCATTCGCTCGCCTGCCTGATCGCCTCGTTAGTAATAGCCTCCAGCTCGTGCGTATGTTTGGCTACTGCTACAATGGCAACATCGTCTGCGAATCCGATCATCTTTACACCGGATGGGAGGCTCAAACGGAGGATCCCGTCATACATCAGGTTCCACAGTGTCGGCCCAAGGACCGATCCCTGCGGAACTCCTCCCGTCACTCTATATGTTTTAGGTCCGTCATTGGTCTCGTATCGTAGCACACGCTGGCTAAGGTAACTTCCTATAATTCGTGTTAGGGTTGGATCTATGCTCTTGTTGACCAAGCATTCTATAATCCTTGCCCAGCTCGCCGAATTGAAAGCATTTTTGACGTCTAGCGTCACCACCAGGCAGTACTCCTTGGTGCCCCACCGCCACCGTTTACCTTCGATCGCTCTAGCGGCCAAATTTACGACATCTTGGATGGCTTGCTTGGTAGAGCGAGCTTTCCTGAAGCCGAATTGGGAGTCAGAGAGCCCTCCTGTGCTGCTGATTGAGGCCTCTAGTCGGGAACATATGACCCGTTCTAGAGCTTTGCCAGCGGTGTCTAGCAAGCAGATCGGTCGGTATCCTGAGGGGTCTTCAGGCGCTTTGCTTCCCTTTGGGATCAAAACTAAGTTCTGTCTCTTCCAGCAGTTGGGGAACACCCCTTCCGAGATGCACCTGCTGAAGAGAGTAGCAAAGTAGCTTGGTTGAAGCTCGATGGCCTTCCTCATGACCGCGCTCGGTATTCCGTCGGGGCCGGGGGCTTTCCCTGGTTTTATACGCCGCGCTGCTATCAGGACCTCTTCTTCCGTCACTTGTTGGGGGGTGATCTCGTTCCAGTTTGCATGTACCATCCTGTCTGCCGGTCTGGGCGGTTGCTGTGGGAAGAGGTGGGCTACTGTTTTTGCCAACAGAACGGGGCATTTTGGGCTGGCTGGCCTAAATGCGTGCAGTCTCTTCATCGCTAGCTTATAGGCGGTACCCCAGGGGTCCGCGTCAGCCTGGTCGCAGAGTTCCAGGAACAACCGTTTCTTTCTATCTTTAATCAGGGCTTTGAGCTCTCGCCTCTTCTCCTTAAAGATGCTTTGTTGGGCGGCGGCGTGGGTAACCCCACGTCTGAGTGCTCTCTGGTATGCTCGTCTCGAACGGAAGCATTCTTTCCGAGCCTTAGCAATGTCTTCATTCCACCAGTAAACGGGCTGCCTGCTGGGCCCATTTCCAGTCTTCGTCATGGAAGCGTTGCATGCCCTGGTCACGTGGGCCATGACCTGACACGCCATGTCTGTGGCTGTCCCACTTGGATACAGCCCTTGGAGCATGTATTCGAAGACCTCCTTGTCGAGGGTTTCCGATTTGTATCTGGTAACTCTGGTGGGTACAGGAGCGAGGGCTCGACTATGGATCATGGTTATTACGGCTTGGTGGTCGCTATGGGTGTAGCATTTACTTATATTCCAGGACGTACTGGGTACAAGTGTGCTGCTTACGAATGTCAGGTCTATGGCAGAGCCTGCATTACCTCTAATGAACGTGTTTTCGCGCCCGTTGTTCAGAAGGGTGACCTCCAGTGCCGCAAACGCGTCAAGGACTGCTCTCCCTTTCGGGTTAGTGCTGACGCTACCCCATTCGGTCGCCCATGCATTGAAGTCGCCTGCGATTAGGCATGGCGACTTGTCTCTCGCATCTGTCACCAGTAGGTCGAGTATGCCTGTGAACTCTTCCAAGCTAAGCGATGGAGCTAAGTAGCAACTATATATATATAGCCAATCTACTTTAGCTCGTATGAATCCCTTTTCAGACATAATGTCTGTAAGAGGGGAAGCGTGTTGTCCGCAGCTCCACGTTGCTGCCTTTCGCAGTTTGTCCCCAGCCCAAGTATTGGTGGGTCTTATACGGTAAGGTTCGCTCAGGATGGCGACGTCGGCCCTATTTTCTCGGAGACTCTGTGATAGCAGGTCTTGCGCTGCTTCGCAGTGGTTCAGGTTCAATTGGTAAATACAGATCATCTCTTTTGTGTTTTAGCCAGCGCCTTTTTAAGGTATGGGCACCTACTACTGTTAGCCTTATGGTCCGTTGCCTTTTCGCCTTTCCTGGCGCAAATTATGCATTTCGGACCCTTCTTGCAGTCCTTAGCTTTGTGACCAGGTTCGCCACAGTTGAAGCAGGTGTCCCTGCAGTTGGCTTCTTCTGGACATCGGCTAGCCATGTGGCCGTAGTCCATACACTTGAAGCAGCGGACCGGCTGCACTTTCCTCCTTATCCGGCATATCACCCACCCTACCCGGACTTTACCCGTCTTATTCGCCATGTCTGCTGGGAGCTTTAGGGACGCGGTCTGGGTGCCGCCGTATGCTTTCCGGTAAGACACTATGCAGGACTTGGTGGCTTGAATTTCGCCAAACTGGGTTAACAATGCCTCCAGTAGTTCCTCCTCCGTGGTGACTTCATCGATGTCCCTGACCTCGACAATTGAGGTTTCTGTCAGGGTCCTAACTTCCGCTTTAGGCCCCAGAAAACCTTTAACGGCTTCTTCCAGCGCCCTTGTGTTCGGGTCTGACGGCCTTGATAGCTCAAAGAGCAGATCTCCTTTCGCCGTCTTTCGGATTCCTCTAACGTGTTGCGCTAGGCCTTTTAGCGATGGTTCACTTTTGACCGAGCGCAGAATGTCTGCGTATGAGGAGTTTTCTGTCCCCTTTACCACAATCGCGTCCCGCTTAGCGGGTTTGGTTCTGGCGGGCTTTAATAACGCAGGATCTTTGGCTTTTGCCTTCCTCCTTTCCACCTTCTTCCACTTTTCCTCTCCCGTAGGCTCGTCTGCCGGGGAAGGCCTAGACGGCACTTTCTGGGAGGGTGCCTTTACCTCCGCCTTTGATTTGGGCTCTGCATGGCCTCTGGGCTTCTTCGGTCTCGGTGGTGGTGAAGTGTTTTCACCCCTCTCGCTTCTTGCCCTTTTGCCCTCGGATGGCTTGGGCTTTACAGGAGATGCCTCCATTGGCATCTCTTCGTCTGCCGTCGTGTAAAGGGCCATGATGTTATCGATCAGATCCCTCATTGGTTGGTGGATCGATCGCCGCCCTTCCAGCATTTTGCTGAGCGCCCTAATCTTTTCGCCCAGAACCTCGAAACTCCTTTTCGATGGTTGGGCGATTCCCTTCGTTGGGGTCCCCTGGTGCTGAGCATCCAAATTGGCTTCCACCAATGCTCGCCTTGGCGACCTTTGCACCTTCCTGCTCTCTTGCAGTGAGTTGTAGGTGGGCTCGGAGCTATACCCGACCTCATCCTTTTGCTTATCTTTGGCCGCTGCCGGGCCCGTGATCTGGGTAGGTTTAGTACCCGGTGCACGCGTTTTTGCCCCTGCTCGGGGGGCCTGCTCGCCCACTGGCGATCTCAGGAGTCTGCTACTCCTGCCGAATGCGTACTCCTCCTCGGTGTTCCTCTCGGTTGTGTTGTTTTTGGTTACTTCACTCATGTTTATGGGTCCCAACTCCTAGTCGTTGTCTCTAATCGTTGCACAGTCGCGTTTAGTGATTCCATGGTTATCTATGCAAAGCAGGGAGGCCATGCTAGGGTTGACATCTGCCCTTATGGGGTTAGATGTACAGAGCCGAATCCGCGTAGATCAGGAATGTTACATCTGAACCTGCGCTGCCAAATGAATGGTGCCGAATTAGAGAGCGTTCTAGGAGACTTGCCACTTTTTAACGGGACGGGGGCGGTAGCAGCATTAGCCTAGCAGCCATTTCGGCGGGATTTCACTCCGCTTACTGAGGTGCTAGAATACTGCTATCGTCAGCCCATGGGTCGTCGTTCCATATCGGGGGTCCAGTTGTCAGTCCTAGGGCCTTACTGGTCTCGGCCTTAGTCGCCTTCTCGTATTTCCTAGACGCATCACAGTGAGGATGGTCTGTTCGGGGATACCTGACGCCTTGTCTGAGGTTACGAGCTGCTTTAGCTGCACCAGAGAGGAGTTGATCCGACCGTTACCAACTTAGTGGAGGTCAGAACCGTGCCACCATAGGGGCTCTCTCTCTGGGCAGAACATCCCCTTGTCGCCTTTAGTCGCCTCTTACGACAAGCAGGGACGGGCTGTGGTAGTATTCTAAGGCCGCTACCACGCGGGGAAGGAGGACTTGGGAGAGAGAAGACTATGGTTAATTGTGGTTTTTCTTACAACTTTATTCATAATTCCTTAATGCCTGAGGGTCCCTAGTTCCCTGCGCACGTGCTGGCCACCCCGTAGGGCTGGCCCGCGGCCGGCTCACCCGTCTTATCGGAGGGACTCCATGTCCACGTGTCCTTTTATCCTTGTTGTCATCCGCTCACGTCCGTTCACTTTGATGGTCGAAAACTAACTCCGTTCACTCTGATGGTCAAAATCTAACTCCTCGATCGGCGAACAGCGAAGGCTGTTCGAAGCCCTCGCTGCTGCCGTCGACCGCGGCAGCGGCCCTTACGCTGCTTCCGTGCAGACTATAGGCGTCCTCTTTCGTCTGCCGCCTCCCGCACCCGCGTCTCTTTACGCGATCGTGCGTTCCTCTTCCTTTCCGTGTCTCTCCGGACCCGGCCGTCGGTTCTGCCGAGGACGCAAGTTTGGAGAGATGGAAATGTTGCTGGCGTGGTTGTGGATGTTGCTGATGTGGATGTTGCTGACGTGGATGTTGCTGATGTGGATGTTGCTGATGCGCGTGTTGCTGATGTGGATGTTGCTGATGTGCGTGTTGCTGATGTGCGTGTTGCTGATGTGCGTGTTGCTGATGTGGTCTTCGGCGTGTTGCTGATGTGGTCTTCGGCGTGGTGCCCTCCATGGGTCTTTCTAGCTCCTTAACCTAAATCCCTAAGTCTTATCTTATAAACTATTCCTAGCTTATATGTACATACGGTAGGGGGGAGGCCCTTGTGAGGGTTACCTCACAAGCTCCGAAGTAGGCTCTGTAAATATAAAGTCCCAGAGCGATGTGCAATGCAACGACCGCTCCCACGGCAGAAGCAATATTAATTTTTACTTCTGGAATGTCCAGGAATCGGTCCAGAACGAAGCCTTTGGGGGCAAAAAAGGTCAGAACGGGCAGAAAAACGATAAGCATGCAGTAGAATTGCACTGTCTTGAAGGAGCTGTAATCCTGCGAATCATGAGAGTGCTGGCGGGTTTGTTTTGGCGTTCCTCCGTTGCCACCGGTGCTTTTCTTAGTCTTATTCGACATTATTCTAGCTAAACCAAACCAGGATTAATTGAAAAAACGCAAAAGTTTCTTTTAATTTCGGCTTTTGCTTTGGCCTGCCAGTGGGTTATCAGAAATATTTGACAAATTTTCTTTCTTCTTAAGCCAAATTCCCATGGCAGAAAGCGATATCCAGAAAACAGCGGTGTCACCCCGTTCGGACTGATCGAGTTTTAGTACATGCCGTTTGGATTAAAAAACGCGACTCAAACATTTCAACGTTTCATGGACAACATCTTCCGCGGCTTGGACTTCGTTTATTGCTATATCGATGACATACTTATAACGTCGCAATCCCTGGCTGAACACGAAGAACATCTTCGAGCTGTATTGGAAGTTCTACAGAAACACGGTTTAAGCATTAACATGAGCAAATGCCAGTTTGCACAGCCGCAAGTAAATTTCCTCAGCTATACGATCAACGAGTTTGGAATTAAGCCACCCCCCGAACGCATAGATGCCATTTTAAATTATTCACGCCCTGAAACTATAAGCCAGCTGATCCGTTTCTTGGGTGTCATAAATTACTATCGCAGATGTTTGGCTCGATCATCACACATACAAGCACCGCTGACTGAGTTGCTTAAAAATGTTAAGAAAAATAATCAACGTAAAATCGACAGAACTAAAGCAGACGCGCTCTTGTCCTTTCCCGCACCAAAATCTGAACTCCAGCTGGTTTGCGATGCTTCCGATTTCGCAATCGGAGCAGTTTTAGAACAGCGCACAGACGGAAATTGACGACCCCTAGGATTTTTCTCTAAGAAGCTAAGCTCCACAGAAAAAAACTACTCGACATACGACCGGGAACTGCTCGCCATATTCGAATCCATAAGGTATTTCACCTTATTGAACGTCGAATTTTTGTGATTAAGACTGATTACAAGCCGCTCGTATACACATTGCTACAGCGACCAGAGAAAGCTTCGCCGAGACAGCTTCGACATTTGGCTTATATTGTCCAATTCAGCACTACGATTTTACATGTGAAAGGATCTGAGAATGCAGTCGCAGATGCTTTCTCGAGATTATGCTCCATAACAATGCCGAAAGCTATAAAATTATCTCAAATCGAAGATGATCAAGCAACAGACCCTGAGCTGGTACGTCTTTTACACGGAGCTACATCTTTAAAACTTCAAAAGGTTCGATTTGATGACAACATCTCACTCTACTGCGATGTATCGACAGGAAGCGTTCGTCCTTATATACCTAAATCTCTGCGCAATACTGTATTTTCATCCATTCACAGTGTTGATGAACGCATTGCAGCTGTTATATAAACATATTATATTTCAGTATTTTATTTGGTATATTTTGTGGTGCGACACTAATTTTTGGTATTTGGAAGAGATCGAGTTTTTAGTATGTAACAAGAAAATACAAGAAAAGGAACCATGTGTAATTTATAATAAAGAAAAAGCTCAAAATTAAATACAGTCCACTCGAAGGGGAAATAAGGTGTTGTTATATTTCCCGCACCAAAATCTGAACTCCAGCTGGTTTGCGATGCTTCCGATTTCGCAATCGGAGCAGTTTTAGAACAGCGCACAGACGGAAATTGACGACCCCTAGGATTTTTCTCTAAGAAGCTAAGCTCCACAGAAAAAAACTACTCGACATACGACCGGGAACTGCTCGCCATATTCGAATCCATAAGGCATTTCACCTTATTGAAGGTCGAATTTTTGTGATTAAGACTGATTACAAGCCGCTCGTATACACATTGCTACAGCGACCAGAGAAAGCTTCGCCGAGACAGCTTCGACATTTGGCTTATATTGTCCAATTCAGCACTACGATTTTACATGTGAAAGGATCTGAGAATGCAGTCGCAGATGCTTTCTCGAGATTATGCTCCATAACAATGCCGAAAGCTATAAAATTATCTCAAATCGAAGATGATCAAGCAACAGACCCTGAGCTGGTACGTCTTTTACACGGAGCTACATCTTTAAAACTTCAAAAGGTTCGATTTGATGACAACATCTCACTCTACTGCGATGTATCGACAGGAAGCGTTCGTCCTTATATACCTAAATCTCTGCGCAATACTGTATTTTCATCCATTCACAGTGTTGATGAACGCATTGCAGCTGTTATATAAACATATTATATTTCAGTATTTTATTTGGTATATTTTGTGGTGCGACACTAATTTTTGGTATTTGGAAGAGATCGAGTTTTTAGTATGTAACAAGAAAATACAAGAAAAGGAACCATGTGTAATTTATAATAAAGTGTTCAGAGGAATGCAACTAATTTGTTGCTACCGCTTTGTGCACTTCCAAAAAAAGGCCAATGTTTTATGATTAGATGAGATGTGTTTTTGTATTTTGGGTTTCAGAGTATTATTTGGTTATTCTTGTGTACAAAGTTTATGTATTTGCGTACAAGATCGCGACCGACAATTTGCTTGCGAGGGTGTAGCGAGAACGAACGAAAAAATGTGAATCGGTTAAGAGTTGCGAAGACGAATGAAATGATAAAGAAGATAGATAAAAACAAGATAAGCAAAGTTAGGCGCGATTACATTATGCGGGTGTTGGTAAACAACTTTGCGTTTACGTTTACGTTACGTTATGTTACATTACATTAGCAGTTAGACATTTGAATAAAGGGTAGAATTTATAAGTTAGGGGTTCTGCTCCGAACATGCTCCCCCGCTGGAAGAGTCACGCTGACAGACGAGGTGGTCTCAAAGGGCAGAACGGCCAACTTGCCAACAGCTCTTCGGATGATGCCTGCAGCTGTTCGAACAACTGCAACACGGGCCACGCCATCTGGTCCAAGAACGATGCTCTCGACTCTGCCCATGCGCCATTGGAGCGAAGGAAGGTTGTCGTCCTTTATGATGACTATGCTGCCGGGCGACAAATTTGCCTTTTCTGACCGCCATTTCCCACGTTCCTGGAGTAGCGATAGGTAGGCAGTGCTCCACTTGCGCCAAATCACCTGCTGCATCTGGCAAACTCGCTGCCAGCGACTTAGCCGATCGATGTTGAGATGGGTGATGTCGGGCTCGTCTATGGCGTTGAAAGCAGTGCCAATAAGAAAGTGTCCAGGCGTGAGCACCTCCAAGTCGCTAGGATTTTCTGAAACGGGGCAGAGTGGTCGAGAATTAAGCATGGCAGAAACTTCACAAACGAGAGTACGAAGTTCATGAAAAGTTAAAGTCGATCTTCCAACCACTCTATGAAAGTGGTATTTGGCTGCTTTTACGGCGGCCTCCCACAAGCCACCAAAATGAGGCGAGCGGGGGGGTATGAACTGCCAATTAATTCCATTAGACAACAGGTCATTGCGAAGCTCGATATTTGGAGGATCAGCCAGGAAGATTTCCCTGAGCTCCTGCAACTCGTTTTTCGCACCAACGAAGTTTGTTGCGTTGTCCGACCAGATCGTGTTGGGCTTGCCTCTGATGCTGGTGAAACGCTTGAGAGCGGCGAGGAACGATGCGGTAGATAAATCCTCTACTAACTCCAAGTGAGAGGCTTTAGTTGCGAAGCAAATAAAAACTGCCACGTAACACTTCGCAGGCGGTCGATTCCTGACTTCCGATTTCGAGAAGAATGGGCCACAAAAGTCGATTCCAGTCGTTGTAAAAGGTCGACTTGGTTGCACTCGGCTGGCCGGCAAGGGTGCCATGATGTGCTCCATCATTCTCGGCTTCAGTCTGAAACACCTGATACATTTGTTTACGATAGCTGCGACTGTTTTTCTGCCTCCAATTGGCCAAAACCTCTGGCGCAAGGCAGCTAGTAAACTTTGCGGTCCTGCGTGCAAAAACTTGTGATGAAAGTGAGCGACGATTGCTTGAGTGACAGGATGATCCTTTGGCAGCAAAATGGGATGTCTCGCATCGTAGCCCAGAAGCGAGTTTTGCAAGCGACCACCAACACGAATTAGTCCTGAGTCATCCAGAATAGGATGCAACGACGAGAGCTTGCTATTTGATGCAACCTGCTTATTCTTTCGCAATGCCTTGTAGTCCTCTGCGAAGAAAACACGCTGGATTCCTTTGATGAGTAGATGTGTGCCACCTTTGACGTCATCGACTGCGAGTGGTCCTTTGCGACGCGTTTGATTTTGGAATTTGAGCAATTTGCCCTCCAGCGTCTTAAATCGACGTAAGGCACGACCGTATGAATCTCCGAGCATGCCGAAACTGGCTTTGGTAGGCAAACGAACCGAGTATTGCCCTGAACTGAGTCGAGAAAAGGTATTCTGGAACAGCTGCTCGCACAAAACATCTGCATCAGTTGCGACAATTGGAGATCCACAGTAGCTGTCGATTTCCCTAAACCGTTTAACGATGTCTGGCAAGGAATGGGTTTCCGATTGGATGATGGGCTCAGTGGTCACCGCAAGTGCTGAATGCTTCAAGTTTGAGAACGAAATCCCTCCAGATGCGATCCAGCCAAGACGCGTTTTTTGCAAAATGGGCAGATTTTCGGCTAACCGCATTTGCCCGACGCACAGCAATTCGTAAAATATGCCAGCCCCTATTAACAAATCGATACGCTGACTATTGTAGAACCACGGATCAGCAAGAACAAGATTTGGTGGTATGTTCCACCCTAGAGCGTTTAAATCGAAATGAGGCTGATAATCCGTAATCTTGCCACTAATTACTGCAGTCAGTGCTGTACGATATTTTTTATCCCTAGAGTGCGCTTCGAGATCGACGGTTGCGTTTGATGAAAGTGATGATTCACCAACTCCAGATATAGATGTGTTAGCTTGACGAGTAGTGAGTTGCAACTGCTTAACGAAACGAGAAGTGACGATGTTGATTTGAGCACAAGAATCTAACAAGGCTCTGCAAGGAACAAATGCACCAGATCGATTTCTGATGTATACGATGGCAGTGGCAAGCAGCACATAATCGGTCTTACTATCTGACGAGACAACAGGTGGAGCTTCAGAGAATGATGATGATAAGAGCGAAACGACATTTTGAGAGTTAGTAGTGGTAGTTGGAGGAGAGGGTGCGGCGATGGCGTTGGAATCGATGTGAAGCAACGAATTGTGCTTCGAATGGCAGCGTTTGC